ATCAGTGAGGGTAGACTACTCAGATATGGTAGGAGTTCAACAGTCACGTGCATGCACCAATTCTCAAAGGACTGACACTGAGAAACAGGTACGTCTGTCTCCTTAAAATCGTCATCTGCTTCCCTCACCCCCCACCCTACCCTTTCTCAATCACTGTTACTGAGTTACTATACAGGTTTCCGCCACTATCAGAAAGTAGAACATTCTCCTATGAAACCTTTGGTAAGACAAAATGGTGTAGAGCGAAGAATGACCAGTAAATTTTATGGAAAAGTTTTTGAGCATTCCCAGACCCCCAAAATAACCTCTCTTAGGCCTTTGTGATGCCTTAGGGCATGTCTTGCTAACAAAGGCACACAATTAATGGAGATAAAGCACAGCTGTTCACAGACACAGCTCAAAGCTCTGAAAGCTTGGTGCTGAGATGCTGAGTGTGGTTCCCAGGGAGGGAGCCTGGTGGAGCTGCTCTCGCTGCTGAAGAGTACTGGGGGGAAAAAAAACCCAACAATACTGAACACCATTTTTGCTTTTCACCGGTTTTTTGTAAAGATGAAAATCCTCTTTGGATTCCTTTCAGTTAGCAAAAACAGGTGCTAACATAGGCCTTTTCATAAAAGCAAAGTGGCATAATGGGAACTTTTGAAAGCAGGGGATGCCTGTATCTAGATCCTTATTCTTCTAGTTTAAGGTCTGTTCCTGGTTATGCTGAAATTTCTCTCAGGAGATGTTCTAATTCATTTACACTTTAGTCTGAACAAAGTTGATTATCCTACTCCCAGTAACAAATGAGGGGTATGAATGTTTGGAATTAGAGAAAAAGAAAAAAAGGGGGTACAGAAATTAGAGGGTCTGGGTAACACAGCCAAACTGTACCTATTTAAAAATATCATTGTTTTGCCTGGGGTTAGAGTTAATTACAATAATTTGCTCTAATCATGCGCCTGTACTTCTCTTTTTCCAAACACTTATTTCATAATTACGTTTGTCAAGTTGTTAAGGGTAACAACCCTATTTTACCATCCGAGGAAAAAAACAGACCAAAACAAAACAGATGTTCTATGAAATGCTGGAAGTCAGTTTTGTCACAATTACTGAACACATGGTTTCTGACTTGGACAGTATCTCCGCAATTAAAATGAGAAAAGGGCAGAGCCTGCCTGTGGGCCTCTCTGTGGCTTTTACCAATGTATCTGAATTTGCTGATCCTAAGCTGATGAATGGCAATCAAATGAACCAATGAAGGTGGTAGAAATGATAAGTTCAAGCGCAGTTCTCAAACTATACACACTGAAGTAACCTCAGTTTCCGCTCTAATCCCAAGCAATGCTTTTTTTATCTACAGACAGGAATACCTGAATATTTAGAGAGGAGGATGCAATTCTGGCTAACAACTGCATTTCAAAGCAAAGGAAACCTTTCTTAAAATGAAGATTTAAAAGTTCATTCTACAAACCAGTAAAATGCAGAATACCAGACATTAGGAAAACATTTATTAGTATATTAAGGTTTATGCTGTTGTAGATATACAGCGTCAATAAAGTAAGGCACCATATTGAAAACTCAAACTATGATGATTATGGCATGAGGCAAGACTATGAACCTGAATGGGAAGGGAGAGAAAGAGGAGCATCTCTGTTGGAGGTATTTACCCTGTGGGTTACCATCTTGTAAGGACTGCTCAAGGACAAGGCAGTTTCATCCATTTCTAGTGTCAATCTTCCCTAATATCTTCCTTTCTCATCCTTTGCCTTCTCTTTCTTGATTGACAAGAAATTCATTGGCACCACTGCATTGGTGGCCAATGAATTAAGAGGCCAGCCTTTGAATCGTCTTAAATCATGACTCCTTTTGCCTTTGATTGGAAAGTCAAATGTGTACTGGTTGCCCAAGAATTTATAATATGCGATCTCTAATAAACATAAATCTTTCATTTTGTTGTCTCTCTACCTGTAGACATGCTTCTCAATATGACTCTCCCAAGAAAGTTTTGCAAGCACAGGAAATAGGTCAACTGGTGTCTTCTGGAATCCTCTCATCTCACATATGCCAATCTGATGTTTTAGACTTTTATTATTTAACATGTTATTTTATTGATCATAGTACACTGAAATCTTTGCTTGTTTGACAGCTTTTGAGTTAATAACTGATAGCTTCTGAGAAGGCATCAAGATCCAAAGGCAAAACAGAAAGAGAGAAAACAGAAAATAAACGACAGCAACATGCATTGAAGAATCAAGGAGAAACTAAGAGAGGAGCAGAAAGACGTGCTTATGACTGTACACATTGAAAGTGAACTTTAGGTAAACCTAAGTACAGATTTTTTAAGTGTCTAACAAGGATTATATATTTATTTGTCCCAGAATAAAATTGGTCTCAGTATATTACTGTAAGTTTTGAAATACACCCGTATTTAAGAGGTCTCTACAGAGCACACTTAGTGCTTCCTCTAACACTTTCTTTGTACTTCCTGGTGTTTACACACACATACTCCGTCTTGAACGATGGTTAATTAACTATTGATGGGTCCTGGCATTCTAGGGCTTCCCAGGTGACGGCTCCGTATTCTTTACTAATCGTTTAATGAAAACACTTACATGAATAATGAATCTGGCATTTCCCTAGATACACATGCAACTTTTGTAATAGTAATAAAGGCAGGCATATGCAGTTAAACAAGATACTGTGGCTTGAAAATGTTTTCACAAATCAAGTCAGAGAGGTTATGCTGAAAATGAAGCTCCAGGTTTTGAAGCTGCTGTTAAATTTTCACATTAAAATATGCTATATGTTATAAGCTCATGATATTAAAAGAAACAGTTATACTTGACAAGTTAATACCGTTATCTGTTAAGTCCTTAATAAAGTAAGCACAATTGAGATCTTCATAATCATAGTTCCGAACTTCAAAGTTTGAATTAAAAGCAACATACCCACATCTATAAACACACGTACACACAAACTATACAATGTCTCATAATGACGCAGGAAAACGATATGATTAAAATGTCTATGAAACCTACTATTCACCTTAGAATTGAAACTTGTCATTATTTAGTCCAATTTTAGACATGGATCTTAAGACTTAGATTACACAAACCAGGCCTGATCACTGATTTAGTGGTGACTAAGCATGCCACCATTTTAAACAGGATTTCATCAACCCCTTTGATTCAATACCAATCTTGGCTCAAATGAACATTTGCTTTGGAGAAACTAAGTGACTACAACCAGTTATTTGAACACATGAGTGAAAAAAAGTTTTTTTTATAGGGGTTGAAATGCAAGAATATCATTGGAAACAAACATTACAAGTACTCTTAGAAAAAGATCCATTTTTGGAGTCAGAAGTCCAAAACTTTGCCTTGTTACTATTTATCAGATGACTCTGTAGGGGTCATTTAACTTCTCAGGATCCTGAGTGCCTTCATTTGTACAATTAGAATAACAGTATTTGCAACATTTTAATTTCCTAGTTGTCGTATACTACACACTATTACTATTACCATCAATAATTACATTCCTAATTCCTTAATTAACTGAACAGCCTTCTATGTGCCAAAACTTTATGGCTCGGTTTTTATATAACTTTTATATAACTTTATATATATTTTTATATCACATCCTCACAATGGTCCTATAAGGTAAGTGCTCTGATTTTTTATACAGATGAAGAAACATCTTAGAGAGGTTAAATAACTTGCCAAAAGCCACACAACTATTAAGAGCTTAAATATAAATTTGAATTCAGATCTTTGACTCCAAATTCATTTTAGATCCACTATATCCTGTTTCCCCTAATATACCATATATATTTGTGTGTATGCAAACATATATAATATAAACATATAATATGTATTACCTATAGAACACAGAAACATATTATTTTATATATACACGTTTTCAATTCTAAAATGCCATACTAGTGTGTGTGTGTGTGTGTGTGTGTGTGTGTGTGTTAAAGATTACAAAGACTAAGGCATGGAGCAGGGTCAGTACTTAGTCAATATTTGGGAAAAGGAATTAAAATATGGGAAGCGACTAAGATCATTTTGAGTGAACTGTTAATCATGTATCAGCAATAACAGAGGCTATTTAAATCCCATTCTTATGTAAGATTATGTTTTTAAAATTATTCTATAGAAAAAAACATACAAAGACTGGTCACAGGTTCAATTCTAGATACAGAATTACCAATGATGGAAAAGCAACTATCTTCCATAAGCAAGGGATGAAACCTAACTTTATGGTCTAGATAAACGAAGAGAGACAAGGTCTCTTTAGGGGTGCCTGGGTGGCTCAGTCGGTTAAGCATCCAACTCTTGATTTTGGCTCCGGTCATGATCTCACAGTTCATGGGATCGAGCCCCCGCATCGGGCTCTGTGCTGACAGCACGGAGCCTGCTTGGAATTTTCTCTCCACCCCGCCCCACCCCCGCTCCTCCCCAACTCAAGTGTGTGCACGCCTGTGCTCTCTCTCACTCTCTCTCAAAATAAATAAATACAATTTTTTTAAAAAATGGAGACAAGATCTCTTTAAAAATTACATATGATTCTGAATTTTCAAAGCGATGAAACATCATCTTCCATATTTAAAATTTCAAAAAAGCTATTCTGTACTTTCCTATCAAAACAAGTACATAATACTTGCCATATTTTATTTCTCTTGACTGTTGTGTGTGAATAGTAACAATGATGATGATAACTGACATTCAAAAAGAACAATATATTTTTTTCCAGAGTTAAGGAGAAGAGGTTAGAGATATTAGGAAAGATGCACAGAAGTCTCATTTCTAATACAAGCACACATTTTCAGCTATGTAAAATACTCCATGTTTTCCCCTAATCTGCTCCCGAAGAACGTCAGGCCGGATGCAAGGGTGCTGACACGTGTGCCCATTCAGAGCTAGAATGACAAGCCCTGGGACCAGAGATGCTGCTGCTTCCATTACCCACTGAATACCGTGGCGATTCTTAGTTCATCCTGAGAATGTGGTACTTACTCTTGTACTGCTCTGGCTATGGAAAGGGCCGTAGATCCAGTCTCATTAACGCTATCTAAGGTCACATTTGGCAGGTCATCATCGTCACTGTCACTTTTACTTTGTCTGGGAGATAGGCCTCGGGGGTCCATTTGTGCTGGGAAAAAAAGGCATATATAATGAATTAAAATTAGCGTGCAGAAAGATAACCTTGTCCTGGACCAACATCAAGCATGGCATGTCTCGTCTGTGCCTATCGCGCACATGGAACTCTCTAGAAATCCCAGGAATTAGTGAAAGTGGTGCATTTAATGGACAGAGCGCTCACTGACTTTTCCCTTGTTCATTTGATTTACAAAACCTCAATCAGCTCTCAACAGTTTCAGGGGATGACTACAGAACAGAAACTATAAAATCCACAATACTATTAACTCCTGAGTGGTCAGAAGCTGATTAGGTAGCTCATCAGTTACTGTACAACCCCCTGGCTCTTCCTTCTTGCTTCTGCTGCCAGAGTTCAGGCCATTTCACTGCTCGTTAGCACGTTCCCTGGAAGGTGGGGAGCACAGATTTTACCTGCCTATATAGCTCTCTTAATAAGCCTAAAGAAGAACAAGGTTTACAAGACTAAAAGTTGTAGGTATTTCTCATACTTCAGTGAATACTGTCTCACAGTTCATTACTGCTCTAAGTGGAGATCTGAGTGCCCCAAAATGACAGAAGTAGCAGCATTTTAAGTGTATGTTTTATGTGCCAGAAAGTGTTCGTCTCCACACTGATTTCATTTTTCAGAAAGGCATTTCCAGATAGGATTCTCCTCCCACCGTGAACTTGCCAGCAAAGCAAGAAATAGCCCTATGTTCTGTGACCCCTGCTGACCGGGACCATCAGATCCTTTCAAATGAGAGGATTACCATCAGCATTTAGTATGTGAATGCATATTTTTAAAAGTTAGATTTCATTTCCACTTCCTCCTCTCTATGAACAACCTTAGCATCCACCACTGTCTAGGATTTCCATCAGCCCTCACCTCAAGCACAAAATAAGCACACCTTCTAAATTAAAAGTATTGGACTAGCTACACAACTGCATTATTAAAATACATGACTTCAGCCCCAGCCAGCTGCAGCCAGACTTCTGCTCTTCAAACCTGCCTGCAAGAGATTTCTAAAACCACCACTGCTCGCAAAGAAAAACAAAATGAACTTCACATCATGGTTACAATGACATCTTTTTACAATTTCTTTTTTTCTTAAATCATTTTTTTTGTATTGTAAATTGTACGTTAGGTAGAACCACTGGGAAATGTTGATATTTCACCATTTTTTACCCACAAAAAGACCATTTCTTGTGAGTCTACTTAATACTTACAATATGAATAGAAAAACCTAGAGAGTTTCAACATAATTCTAACTAAACTTGGCTAGGAAGGAACTTACATCTGTTAAATCCATTACCCTGGTGTATGTGACATACATTCTGCCTGTAAATATAAACACACCAGAATATATTCTGAACAAAGGAAGGGCTTGGTAAATGTTTGTTAAAAGAGAAAATAATCAATTCAAACAATCTAAAGCAGTGGTCCTCAACCAAGGACAAAACTGCCCCCCACTCCCCCTAAGAGACATTTGGCAATGTCTGGCTTGTCACATTCTGATTTGTCACGACTTAAGGGTAAGGGGACCTAGTGGGGAAAAGTCAAGGACAGTGCTAGATACGCTACAATACACAGGTCAGTCCCCCATGACAGAGAATTATCCAGTTGAAAACGCCAATAGCATGCAAATTGAGAAACTCTGATCCAGAGATTTAAGAGTTTGGGTGCCTGGGTGACTCAGTCCGTTACGCGTCCGACTCTTGGTTTCGGCTCAGGTCATCACGGTTGCTGGGATCGAGCCCCGAGCCCTGTGTTGGGCTCTGTGCTGACAGTGTGGAGACTGCCTGGGATTCTCTCTCCCTCTCTTTCTGTCCCTCCCAGTCCCCCCTCCTCTCTAAGTCAAAATAAATAAACAAACATTTACAAAAAAACTTTGGATGTATAAAAGTGTCACATCTTATGACTTCTGGTTGTATAACTACATTGTAATTTCAAAGCCACTATCCAATGAAGTACACTATATGTTGGATTATTCATATTTTCTAGTCCTGTCCTCAAATTAATCAAGTCACGGTCATGTGACTCAGCACTCACAACTTCTCCAAATGCAGTATTCAGTTTCTCAAATGCCAGGAGTCATGCAGTGACACTCATCAAGAGTTACTGTTTTCTTTGTATGATACACAGTGGGACAAAAACACTGTTTATTTTCCATCTGATCTCTAAAGAAGATTCCCTAAATGAAGGATGTTGGGGAAACTCTTCAGGGAGGAAAGTAACCAGTTCCACAAGCATCTGACAACAGAGAGCCACCTAAGCATTCAGTCACTCCGAAGGCACTTAAAGCACCGAATCATTTAAGATTTATTTTGACTGAAGGCAGCAGAAACGGACTCAGGCCAACCTATATTAAACAGAATGCACTGGAAAGCCATTGAGCAGCTCACAGAATGGAAGGTAAGGAGGTAAAGATGAACAGCTATCACTCAAGCAGCACAGCACACAGGAATGATATAGGCATTTAACAGGAATTCATAGACAGCGTCTTTTTGGGCAGCCCTAGAGTAGAATGATTCATTTGACAGTCATTCATGACTACTCACATTGAGCCAAGAAAATGAGTTTCAGATCTATCTAGGCTTCCAAATCACATATTGTGTGGTGTTACATATGCCTGTAAATGTCAGCAACTTAACATTTAAAGTTGTTGAAACATCATCTTGCCTGTGCCAAGATACCAAATTAACAAACAGCTAAAGAACAGAGAATATCCTGGTGGTCCCATTTTGCCCAAGAGAACTAGAGCCTCCGTGGAGAAGTAATACAACTCAGGGAAGACACGGGCAGTTCACCAATAAGCTCTCTGGCTCTGACAGCCTGACTGTAATAATGATTCCAGACAACTGGTGTGAGAGTTGATCATCTCAATTATGTTATGTTTATAACTTAATGAAAGTTTAAAATATGTTAAACATGGTATCTCTTTTGATGTACTTTTCAGGAACATCATAATTGAGGATTTCTTTCCAATATTTTCAATAAATATTATGAAATACATCTGCTACCATCATGCTGGGAAACTCTTTTTTACCCATACCTTCAGCCAAGCTGAGGAAGTAATTAGAAAGGCTTTTTAAAATCTGCATTGCTGATTAGGTCAGATGATTAGCTTATCTACATACTTGCATAATTCTACTCTATTTTTATTAAACGTGGGATAGGAACATCTACCCTAGTTCACCTCTATTAGTCTTCCAGTTCCTCAGCTCATTTCAGAAGCACAGATTCTCTGAGGCACCCATTCAGAGAAAACGGAAAAGTTACCTGGGCACCAGAACTAAAAACCCATCTACTCCTCTAAGTAAGAGAGCAGCAAATCAACTATAAACATCTGAAAATGATTTACATTTGAGATTTTGTTCCTTTTCAGTGATAAAGGGATCATATAGCTTTGGGTATCCCAGCTCATTGTTGATGGTGGCGTCATTGCTGAGTTGGAGGTGCTGTGGAATAGGGTGTGAGTTTCATACCATGTGACAAATCCCTAAGAAGGGAACCTCAGAACCCTAACACCTGTAGTTGAACATATTCACTCTAATTTTCTAATATGCATGTACAATAAACTATTCCTGTAAAGATCCTCCCAATAAATCATGTCTCCATATATCCATGCCCTTGTGTGGCTGCTTCCCATAATGACTCCAGACTTGGCTATATGACTTGATGTGGCCAAAGGAATATTAGCAAACACGACACAAAGCAAAAGCTTGTAAAGCACTTGCATATTGGGTTTCCCCTGGATCTGTTACTGTTTTTAGAACCTAGCCACCATGTGAAGGAACCCAAGAAAGCCTAAAATACACGCTGTTCAGCTGGAAGCCAACACCACCTGAGGTAAGTGACTCATTTTAGAATGACTGGTGACTTTCCAGCCACCAGATGATTGTAGCCATGAGTGACCCCGGTAAAACTAGCATGAGAACCGCCTGGCTAAACCCATCCCCAATTTTTGACTCACAGGATGGTAGGCAAATAAAATAGTGGCTGTATCAATTTAGCAGATTTGGGGGTGCTCTGTTATATGGCAATACAAAATCAATGCACTCTCCCAGATTATTCCAGAGGTTTCCGGACAATGATGTGGAATGATGTGTAACTAACGATTACAGTGAGCCCATCACACTCCTCTCTAATCTCCTCTCAGGAGGCAACCCAGACTTAAGCAGCATAAATTTAAGTCGGCTATTAATAGAAGTATGGAAAATAAAAGTCACATATTCTGTATTATTTACTTCTCAATCCAAAATATTCAAAATGTATTTACAGTTACTTTGGCTTTAGAGGTATCTTTGATCCTTGACCTGCCTCAGGCAGGGTTCTACTGGAAGGGTCCATCAGTTGGTATTACTATTCGGGTGAACAAAACTTTTCTATCCCTTTTCTCAAACTCCTAGTGATAGGAGGGTCATATGGGTAGATCGTCCCAAGTAAGGGGCTAGCCAAAGCTAGTTTCATACGTTTGCCTCTCTTCAACTCACATGGGGCACTTGAGCTTTATTTCCCCTCCCAGTAACAGTAAACTGACATAGATACAGAGACACCAATGTCCATTCTCACCTCCCCCAACTCAGCTTAGGTGTGGACAAAAGATTGAATGCTCTATCTTACGCAGAAATAAATTGGCCCATTCAGCTATTCTTCAAGGAAAGGAAGTTCTTCCATATGGCACCATATTAAATGCAAACAATACAACAATCTATGAACATACACTGAAACTTTAAGACTAACATGTCCTAAAAGTGACTCACAGAAGGATTTATTCAATCCCTTTCGGCTTGGCCTGCCCAGGCTGAAGGACAGGGGACACCCGCAGAGGGAAGGGCAGGAGGCAGCTGGTGAGCAGAGGCTGTGGCGCTGCCAGACTTTCCTTCCCCCTCTCTCAGCCACTGCTAGGCTGCCTGGTGCCTGCAGAAGCCCTCGCTGTTCATCCTACCAAGGCTGAAGCATGTCCCAGTTAGAGAAACACTGGCTTCCACAAGCGCTGCTGCTTTCTGCTC